GCAATTTTGAGTGTTTCTGGACTCGTGTCTTTCTCCCCCAAATGATCGCTTTTCATTTTCCCCTGGTAAAAATTGGCAGTAAAATCTGTGTTCCAAAATACCATAGACCTACAGCTCGCTGTAAGATTTCCAATAGCTTCTATAGCCGGCTACACAATTCCTTATAGCCTTCTATAGCCGATGGCGACTAAGCAACGGCCAGACGATAAAGTGTATGCTAAACGTTACGAATTACGGATGCTAGGACTTAGAGAGTTTTTGAAATACTGCTCTCTTTTTGGGCCGTAGTATCTTAATTTATTTTGCGAGGAGAGCTCCGTACTTTTGATGGATGCCTGTCATTACTAATATATTATAGAGCGCCTTCAGTTTCGTATGATACTGTGCAATACCTCTGGTGTGAAATAGTTGCTTCAAGCGCCGTGGCAGGCGGGCAGCCAGCGCCAAACGCGCATTGGCGCCTACAAACCTAACAGGGATACTTCACGCGTTGCGCAATGCGTGAAGTATCCCTGTTAGGTTTGTAGGCGCCAGTGCGTCGCCGCTCCGCTTTGTGTTAGGCTCTAACATTTAATCTGGCGAAGTCAACGTTATTCAACTTATGTTTTAAAATGTTTGTACATCCTGTATGGATTATTCTCATTTTAATGGATGAAAAAAAAATATGTATTAAAGGAAAATATATTGTGTGTTTTGTAAATATTAAGGTGGTTCCGTATCAAACTTAATGATTTTCAAAGCACACGAATTTCTACACAATTTCTTATAGCCTCTTATAATCGATGGCAAAAAAGCAACAACCAGGCGATAAAGTGTAAAGCCCGGCGATAGGAACTATAGCCCGGCTGCATAATTTTTTATAGCTTCGTATAGCCCGGCCGTATGATTTTCTCCGCATTCTACAGCCAGCTATATGATATTCTGTAGCCTTCTTCAGCCGGCTATAAGAATTCCTATGGTATTTTGAAACGCAGCTCTTATCGCCAATTTTTACCAGGGTCCCACAGATTAACCCAACAATTTTGAGTCAAAGGAGCTTTCTCCAAACTATGTTTTTGAGCAGCATTCAAATCTCCATAGCGTCAGATTACTTAGACTTTATTGGCGGTTTTTGTGTCATGATATTTTCAAAACATTTTTCCACGTAGCATAGAGTACCAATATTTCGAATTTGGATTTTTCTGTATATGTTGACCCGTTTCTCTTGGACGGGCATCGATTTTACACATTGTCCAAAGTGCGCAACCGCGTATATCCGCTTGCAACGTTACAGACTTCCTGTCATACTTTATTTTTTTATTTTTTACTATTTTTTTTGTGTGTGAAAAACTAGCCGATGTCAGTTCTCGAAAACTTCCTTTAATTTTGCTCTCTGTCGACAAAATATTCCGTATAGATTTCAAGCTACAAAGTTAGCTTATTCCTCTTAGGAAAAATATATTAGCAGAAGACATTTTGAAACCCTGCAATGGACATACGTGGTTTCACATTCCGATCATCGACCAGTGGCGTGCTTTGCGATATATCGATAGATCTGCCATTCAAACCTATGGAAAAGGATTGATAAACAGGGTATACCTTAATCATCGATTCTTTACCATAGCTTCAAATTGAGAAATATCGATGATCAATCATTCACGCCACGCCACTGTCATCGACATAATCACTGTTTTACATATTGTCACGTTTGGTGTAAAATATTACGCGTAATGATACCGCGCACACAGCCGCGAGTTACGGAGTTACCAACGGCACACCACAATCATAATAATCGTATCTGACATTTTTTTTCCAATTCACTGCAAGGTCACAGACTCTTTATTTTTTCTGCACCTCCCGCGTTTACACGGCTGCACATTGTAACGCGGCCCGTGCGGCGAGCTTAACATCTTCATGTCGTCCTCAAGTTCCTACAACGAACAATAACGATAGAAATCTGTTTTTCGAGGACGTTCTTTTCCCCTTTTTTTCCACTCTTTGCTCCCTCTTACCCGGCGTCGCGGCGCGCCGACTGGAACCCGTGGGAACCGGACGGTATGTCGACTTACCGTATGACTTAGTCGAGGATAAAAAAACACTCGTTTATTACACGATGCGCCCTACAATCCGTGATAAAGCTTGTGTATGAGGTCTCATCAGGAATTAATACTGCCTTGCTAAGGAAGAACGCCGTATGAACATTCGAGAGTTGCCAAATTTCCCTCAATAACATGTTCATTTTTTAGGAAAGTTGTGGACATTTTGCTCTTAAATTTTCAGAATCTTTCGGTAAGATTGTGAACTAAATAATCTGAAAATTTGGGAGGAAAACATTCGTAAATTTACCAAGAAATTGGCGTTTTATGAAAAGAGATTTGGCAACGCCTGAAGGTCCAAACGGCGTTTTTCCTTAGCACGGCAAAATAGTATTGAAGCATAATGTCATTTGGATCGCGTTAAGTAGAAAAGGACCAAGCTACATCAGCTATTGCCAAATTTAATTGGGCGCTTTGATTTTTTACATGAAAATTATTGTGCGGATCTTTGTGTAAATATCAGTGAATTTTCTGTAGAGTAAAGAGCAAATTCTTTAAAAATTTCAAAAAATCCGCACGAACGTTCTCTTTTAAAAAATTAAATTGCCCGATTAAATTTGGCAACAGCTGATGTTGTTTGGTCCCTTCCTGCTAGACGCTGCGGTCCATTTGACTCCGACTTGACAAGGCGTTTCTTTCATTAATCAAGAGCGTCATAATTTCAGTTCGGCTCACGGAATTAAGCTAGTTTAATATGCATCCGGGGTGGTGGAGGGGGAGGCGGTGGGGTGAAGGGACGTTCGTTCGGCTTGTTGGGATGCTAGAATTTAGCCCGCATCCCTTCGATCTTCGATCACGTTATACGCTTCTTTATACTGCCATGCTAAAGAAAACACCGTATTAGCATTCAAATGCCGCCAAATTTCCTCAGGAAATATTTATTTTTGAAGATAGATATGAATATTTTTTCCTTGAATTTGTTTGGACATTTCAAATGAAATTACGAAAAAACCCTCTGAAAAATTTGAGGAAAATGTTTACATGACTCCCAAGAATGCGTGATTTGTCAGAGGAAATTTGGCAACGTCTGAAGGCTTATAGTGCGTTCTTCCAATGCACGGCGGTATACGAACTGGTCCCGTGTTATCATTGGGATTAGAGGTCAATGATTGGCTGCCGATGATGTTTGGAGCAATAAACGTTGATGATCTGGGCCCAAATCTTGTTGAACAGTTTACGTATAAGGTTGAAAGTTACGGCAAGGATGTTGAATTTGTTATTCAATAGCTGATTAATGGTTTGCACCGATTAGGAACTAATAATGGATTCAGCTTGCTGTAAAAAAGCTCAGGAAGCGCACAGCTTGAATTAGAATGTAATTTGTCAACTTTCAGTCTAATTTAGTCGTTAGGTTCCGCAACTTACAGCCGACCGGAACCCGACGAGATTACTTTGGATTAGAGAATACATTTGACATATACAATGGTCCAACATTTCCTTTTCTTTAGGAATTTCTTTAGGAAAAGGAAACCTATACATGTCGATGACGAAACTAGGAAAACATCTTTTGAAATTTGCAGTGTTTTAAATTGCCTATTTGTACATAATTTTTTATAGGGCAATCTATCATTGGTTTGGTATAAAAGATTTCCCCTCTATTTGTTGGAAAGAAAAAGTTCTATGAAATAATGACGGGTAACATATTCTTGAAACAATAAAACACGAGTGGAAAGTTTCGAAACAACATTAACGTGAAGCGTGTTCCTGAACTTTCATCACCAATATTCAACACTGTGTTTGTCGTGATTTTAAATTATCACTTTCTTCCTGCTTTTCAGCGGGAGGCACAGTGAAACATATGTAAGAGGTAAAGTTTAAAGACCTAAAAATAAGGATGACATGTTCACCCAGCTGTATATAATGAAACATAAAATATTCGTTTGCGCTTTCTGTCACCGTGCAGATACTTCAATTATTGCATCGATGTCCTATATTTTGTGATTCTCACGGTGACTTCACTCAAGCAAGAAACAGACTGTTATGTGGTAAGGAAGAAAGCCGCATGATCATTTGGACGTTGCAAAATTTAATCTAATATGGACCATTATTTTCCACAAATATTCATGAATATTCTTCCTTTAAAGTTGTACAAACATTAGATCACATCGGGAATAAATATATCTGTAGAAGACTAGAAAAAAAATTCCAAAATTTTCAAGAAAATGCATGTTTTACCAGAGGAAATTTGGCAGCGTTCGAATGCTCATATGCCTTTCTTTCCTGATACGGCCACGAACTCGTTGAAATGGCACTATTGAACTCGGCCAGGAACGTGGGGTCAATTGAATTGACAGCGGACGTCAGAGACCTCTGTCGTCTCCCTTTTCATCACATTATTGGTTAATTTGCCACTTTTATGAAGAAACTTGAAACTTCAAGCGGCTGAACATAATAAAACTGTGAATATTTTGAGAAAACCGGCAACAATGTTGTACCAATACTGAAATATCAAGCACTGGTACATCGGGATCGATGAGGAAGCCGCGACTGTCAGGAAAACCCTAATCGACCCAAATTCGACCGATTGACAGGACTTCGTTTTGCAATTTGGAACTACAATATTTGAAGTTTATTGAATTATCACATTATTGAATACAATATTTGGCTCAATTTAGGAACGACGCGACGTGGGAACCATTGGTTTCCCCAGTTTTGGTGAGTGTTTTTACGAATGAGTTAGATATTGCAAAATATAGTGAGCACTACTTTTAGCAACACTCTGGTGACAATAAAATTATCACTGAAAGCTTTAAATACTCACATTGCCTGTAGGTCTAATAGCTTTAAAGAATGAAAGCATTCTTTGAAACTGCATGACATGAAAGCTGTCCATATTTACAATTTAAAAAATTATTCCATGATATTTTGCATTGTGTCACACGTTTATCATCATTTTCATCGATTATTTTTCTCATTTTGTTCCAGATGTGCGTCGATTTTTACGAGTGACGCTGAATCAAGAGTTATTATCTCCAACTTCCGAGAAACAAAGGCAAGACCTTCTCCAGAGGCTGTCAACTAGAGAACAATCGCCCGGCTCCTACCTGGACATGAACTGTTGTAAAAAAAGTAATTCATTTTCTTCCTCATCCTCTTTCTTTGTATTGCCAGTAAAGGACCTTGTGTTCTTTCAGTGAGTAGGTCAACTTTAAACAAAATTTCTTCGAGAACCTTTGACAAAGGATTGCTGAGACGGCATTACTTAGTAAAATTTTGGATCGATTTTTAAAATTTTATACTAATCCTCTATGGTCTAATTCTTAAGATTTATCTTCATTATTAACAATCTTAACTTCACCGTTTTTGGAAAATTTTAGTGTTAAATACTCATTTTTTGAAATATCAATACCATTTTTGGACGTGTTGGAATTGCGAACCCCCTCACCCCCAAAACTCAACTAGAGGTCTGTTGTTAACACATATGTACGCAGAGCACCTGTTGAGATCACAATGAAGGTTGGCCCCTTAGTCAGGGCTGATATGTGTATCCATTCATGAATAAAATATATATCGCAAAGCACGCCCCACCACTGTTCACTGGGTGACAGAATCGTATCACAAGTTTTGAAAACTTGGATCTGCGCTGACACAGAGGATGGTTGTCTGCCACGTGATGGCACACGCTACATCGTGGCAGACGACCATTTTTCCGTGCCAGTGCATGGAAGGCTATCGATTTAGTGGTCAAGGCTTGAGCCGCGAGTTTGTCCCTGATAATCGTCTGGCTCTTGGTCTACTTGTTTAATGAATGGTTGATCATTTCCTTGGGAACTTTGTGCAGGTTACAACGCGGAGATAAGCCGGGACTTCCAGGAGTTCTACGAGGCGTTCGAGCCGGACGACCTGAAGAGCGCGCGGCGGAGGTCGGACATCTCCTTCCTCAAGTCGAGCGAGCTCCACAACGAGCTGAACATAAACAAAGACAACTACGTCACCAAGAACGTCCACCGCAAGAGCCTCAACTCGGTCCTCAGCTCGGAGCTCATCCTCGGCTCGGAGCGGCTTCAGGACCGGAAGCCGAGCTCCACCAGCTCCACGACCGGCACCAACATGAACGGGATCAACGGAACCAACGGCCCCAACTCGGTGGCCAGCTCCGTCAAATCCGATAGCTTGTCCAGCTCCACGTCGACGATCCCACAGGAATCCGATGGCGAGCGAGGCGCCAACTCCAGCGAGGTTCGTCCCTCTTTTTACCATCCCCGGTGCACGTGAACCTGATGGTGCTTTAAATCCATTTCGTCCACAGAGACTAGAGACCTGTCACTGGTATCTTGGCAATGGTGGAAGCTTTTATTTTCGGTACTTCAGCATTCTACTGTTGACTTACCTACATGATTGATGTTCAACAACGTGTTGGTAGTTCCGTTTCGCAAACAAGCCGAAAATGTCCGACGTTTGGGAAACTTGTTTGGCTCATGACGTCACCCGAAGCTGATCAGCCGCCATGTAGGTAGGTCAACAGCCGAAATTAGGATGATGACTGTTGTCCCCTTACTTTGGAAAAAAAACCACATTGGATCTAGAGTCCAGACTCTTGCAAACATTGACAAGAAAAAATACTCTTGATTCAATCAGATTTAAGCTTAAATCAAAAGGAAATCCGCTCAAAGTAAGAGGCTAGGTTCTTGATTTAAGCAAAAATCCGATTGAATCAAGAGTATTTTCTCTTGTAGATGTTTTTTAAGAGTCTGGACTCTAGAGCCAATAAGTTTTTTTTCCAGTGTTGTTATACTTCAAAAAGTCCCGATTTTTTTTATTCTAATTTTTTTTCGCAGCTTTTCCCCAGATTTAGTTTTTACTTTATGTGTTCAATTTTTTTGATTTGAAGGTGCTGTCGATCTCGGCGTCGGCGCTGAAGTACTCGGCGATCAAGCACGGGGTCCTGGCCCGGAAAGAGCGGGTGCTGAAGGCGTTCGAGAAGGTGCGCAAGTACTGGGTGGGCGTCCTCGGGCACTCGCTCTACATCTACACCAGCGAGAAGGACCTCCGCCCGACCACCGTCATCGACATCCTCGGATACTCGGCCCGGCCCGTCTCCGTCAAGGACCCTCCCAACTCCAGCCCCAAGAAGGACTACACCTTCGAGATTGTCTGCCCTGGCAAAAAGACCTACCAGGTACGCCTTACATCATTTTGCAGGTATAAAGCACTGCACTGAAAAAAAAAGTTTGGCAAATTTTGTGTGAGAATATAATTTGCGCATCAGCATTACTTCGAGTGTTCCAAGATTGTTCGGACCAGTTTGCCTTCAATGTAATGACTAGGCAATTTGGGCTACTTAGGAGTAGTAATAGTTGCTTGCAGCAATTTGACCCCAACTATATGTATTTGCTTTGAGCAGGAGATTCACGGCGAGTGTTCCGAGATTGTTCGGATCTGTTTACCTTCAATATTCCAAATAGGCAATGAGGGCTACTGAGGAGCAGGAATAGTTGCTCGCACCACATATGGCCCCACATATTCGTTCTAAGCACATCATTTCCGGATCAATATTGCTCTCATCGAGTGTTCCGAGGTCGTTCTGACGAGTGCGCCTTCAATATTCTTACTATGCAATGTCGGCTACTTAGGAGCAGTAATAGTTGCTTGCAGCAGTTTAACCCGCACATTCGCTCTGAGAATATCATTCACGGATAAATAATATGCACAGTTCTACGAAAGTGAAAAACTTCAGCTCACATGGAGCTTGTTGCATCCCATACCTACTCGGTCGTGAACGGTAAACTAAGAATTCGGTGTGTTGCGCTGAACTTACGGTTCAGGGTTCACTGATCATACACTCAGTTTAATTCATTATAATGATCGGTTCGCTGGACTGGGGCCGTAGTCTGAACCAAAATGTACCTTTAGAACAATTCGGTCCTTAGCTGTCGTTTTTATCTTCAAGTGGAATTGTTAGACAAGGCCAGGGATGGGCTATTCCCCGCCCCCCCCCCACAATTTGAGTAAGTATTATCTGGTCCTCCCTCCCCTGAAAATCTGCGCAACAGAAAAAAGCCTCAAAACCGGTACATTACCTTGCATCGTCTAGATAATGCGATAGAGAGAAGGATAAAGTAATTCCGTATACCTAACTAAAGAAAAAGAAAAACACTAATGAAGAAAAACTGTTTTTAGTTTTGAGGAAAAATTTGTAAATATAGAAGTAACATAAATTTTTGGTCATCATGATCAGAGACAGGGCCGGATTAAGGGGGTGACCACATGGGCCGCGGCCCCATGGCGGCAAATTTAGGGAGCGGCAAATTTTGAAATTTTTTTAAACGTAGCCATAAAGAAAAATCAGATTCAGACAAAAAAAATTACGAACGAGAAAAGGTGACAAAATCTCTCATTTCCTGAGAGTATATCTCTAATTTTGTCGTCCTTCATGTGATACAATAGATAGCGCCTTTATTTAGTCGAGTTAAGACTAAGAGAGAAACCGAACACGGATTTTGGCCTGGAACGGCGCGGCGTAGAGAGCAATGATGACGAGAACGTGAGATGAAAAGGAGAAACCCTCGGCGCGGCGGTCGGCATGTAACACATATTATCACCTACAAGACTGCATGAATACTTCACGCATTGCGCCAAAGACAGTGCGGTCACTGCGGTCAGCAGCGGGCAGCGTGAAACGCATAGCGCCTACAAGACTGCATGAATACTTCACGCATTGCGTCAAAGACAGTGCGTGCAGGCTGCACGGTGCAGCAGCGGTCGGCCCGAAACGCATAGCGCATGTAAGACTGTAGGAATACTTCACGCATTGCGCCAAGTACAGTGCGGTCAGCGCGGCGCGGCGCAGCTGCAGAAGTTAAAATTATTAAACCACATTTATGTTTGTTCTTTCATAATTTTTTGGTTCGTTTCTTATGAATGGAGGGCCTTGTCCATACAGAGATAGGTTTACGGAACTTAACTTTCGCGCCAAGCTCCGTGAACTTTTGCTAGTAGTGTTGACAGGGCTTTCACAAGAAATGTGACCAACACTAGTAAACGCGTCTTATACGCCTCTCCCCCTCCGGCACGTTTACTTGATGGCTTTTATTGATGTTTCAAAAAGAATGAGAAGGGGGCGGCAAAATACAGGCGGCCCATGGGCGGCAAATAAGCAAATCCGGCCCAGATCAGAGAACCCGTTATTTGTAGTAACATGAAAGTATATGAATTAATAAAAACTCGATGCGGTAGATAAGAAAGGTTACACATTTGTATGTGAATTGATGCGTGCTACAACTAGAAAATAAAAAATATCTCCCAATCTAAATTTTTTTCGCCGCTGTCTTTAATTATATACAATGGTATTCCTTCAGGTCTCATGTTTTTGCACTCAATTAAATCTTCCCAGAGCATCCGTTAAAGTCCATCGTACCATGAAAGTTGTATTGTTGCGCAAGCTGACACCTAGCGGCAACACTTCATGCTGAAGGTCGTGAGAGAAACTGAAGATGATTGCTACCTTTGTCAATGAATTTACTGTTCCCTGGTGTGTTTAGTTTTACCGGTGCTGAAGTTTGATGTTGACAAATCACTCGCGATAAAAGTTATCATTTTGCGAACTTTCAGACCATGTTGCCCTCCCCCTTCTTAAACTACAATTCGACGGCGTAAGTCGGCAATCACATAGGTAACTCGGTTTGCGACGTCGCAGACTTCCTGTCATACTTCATTTTTTAATCGGAAAACTACTCAATGGCAATTCTTTAAAACTGCCGTGAGTTTTCTTCTCCATACGAAGAAAATTCTGTATAAACTGCAAGAAATGATGTCAAATGTGTCGAGGTTCTCCTTTAAAAAAAAAATAATGAAGAGGCGGAGATTTTCAGACACCGTGAACGAGATAATTATGTGGTTGCTGACTTACGCCGTCGAATTACGAATTAAAATGAAATGAAGATAAAAATAAGCGGACGATTACTCAGTTATCCGTCGGATTTGTTAGTTGTTAAAACAATAACAATGTTTTGTTGTTTAAAGATTCCGTGATACGTACTAACTTTTAATTTTCCCTCCTAAACTGTTCACGATTCTTCCCGGGAGAGCGCGCGTTGTGTAAAAATGCGGCGCGACGGCACGAGTTATGTGTTTATGGAATTAACGCCGAGATATTATATTGCAATAAGTTTCAGTACATGGGGCCCCTTCAAATACGAGCTAGGCAACATACACAACACTCAGTTGAATAGCAATATTTACATTATGTAATTACTACGTATTGCAATCTGTGCGACTTGGGGCCCCTTTGACGGTCACATCTTCATAGCTGAACTCGAAAAATGCGTTTTCCAATTTGCGACGAAAAGTGAAAAATGCGTTTTTCAGTTTGCGACGAAAAGTCTCCGATCATGTTTTATTTTTTGAGTGAATATCAACCAACATACTTATAATCATGTATTCTCAGTAAATCATAGAAAACTTCAAGGAACCATTTTGGTTAGTAATCCTTGCAGAGAATAAAACATATAATCGGAGGTTTTTAAAACGCTTAAATTGAGATACATCTTTTTCGCATTTAGCCATCGATACATGACAAGCAGAAATTCAAAACCTGGCGAGCGTCATCAGGTTATTGCTAAAATACGCATGTCGCTCCTCAGCGTAAAAGATCCTAAATGCCCCGTCTTCATGAGGAAATTTTCTCTAAATTTGGTCTATTAGAAACTTAGAACATTAGGTATAGCAACACCTGATAACGCTTACAAGATGTTGAATTGCTGCTCTGAATATAAAAAAAAAAAAAAAATTCACAGCTGCTACAGCTTCGTGTTGCTCTCACCTGAAAATTTCAGTTTCGCACGGTTCAATAAAAAGATTCTCAGGTTTTGGTGTTACTTATTTATGTTTTTCATATGTACAGCTAGAAACTAGAAAGCACAACTTGAAAAGGAATAGGGAAACAACTTTTGAAAAGCTCATTTCCACACCACCTTAGGAGAGTCCGTCCGATCAGGAAAATGATACGGCCCAGTTAGATAGGATTTTCTTAAAACGCCTTCTAAACGCCGCCGCCACGCCGTCCACAGTCCTACATCACTGATTGCGTAATCTGTAATTGAAGGCGCTACAAATCCATCGAGATTTAAACAATGTCGGGGCCCTATCCTTTGAAGAGGCATGACAAAACTGTACGTGAAATACTTTTCAGAGCTCTACATGCGGCGCCGACAAATTTGAAGTTTTGGTGCGTAGCCGCGTTCACATTGACGCCAGGAATTTTCACACCTCAATTTTGTAGTTCTTTGATTTCACCCGTGTGGTGTTAGATGAACACTGGAACATTGCTCTCTAAAATGTAGACTGATAACATGTTCATTTTGAAAAGTCAAGCTCATTTGTAGGGCAAAGGGCAGAAAGTATAAGGATCTTAATCACCGCGGTCCACCGGCGCTGTGCCGCACAGTGGATCGAGCCAATAGGAGAGGTCCGAAACAATTTGGAAACTTTAAACGCGTATAACTCCGATTATACATGACTTGAGGTTCTGAAGATGATTTCATCGTGAAATTTTATTGTATGAGCACTCCTTGAAATGTAAAATGTGACGAAATAAAAACCAAAATTTGCAGTTTAAGTCAAAAATTTCATGTTTGACCTCTCTAATTGACTCGACCCACTGTGCGGCGCGGCGCCAGTATCCGTGACGCGGTTTACTCACCTCACCTGATGACACACCCACGCGTACCCGTCAGAGCAAGGTGTAGAGCGGTCTCCACCAGGTAACGCTGCTATTCATTGTCGGCAGCCACTTGTATCTTTCTCGTGTTAAACTGCGGAGCGATCGCTTGTTTTTCATGATTTATTTGTACCTATTTTAAAGTTCATATTTACCTTTTTTGCGACGGTTTCTCTTTTAACTAAATATGTCCCGCAAATTTTCATGCATACATTTTAGATAAGTTTTAAATAGGGACCACATCATGCGTGCAAAGGCGTTACCAACTAGATTATTGAACATTTTTTTTATCAAATGGGTATATAAAGTGCACTTTTTTCGCATGTCTCTGTACTCGCTTCGGCGGTACATATACTAAAATTGGAACGATACAGAGAAGATTAGCATGGCCCCTGCGCAAGGATGACACGCAAAATCGTGAAGCGTTCCACATTTTTTGGCAACTTGTTTAATCCTCATCTTCACCGCCGAATTTCGTTTCGCTACTCACCCTTCCCTGCCATCCTCTCTGACAAACATCACCAGTTTTTTGTTAAAATGTCTGATTCTTTTATGAGCTATTATGGATATTTTAGACACTAAACGAAATTTTGATGCGGTTATTTACAAATCAAGGTGATTCGTTCTTGTTCAAAGTCGAAGTGGCGTGTGACACACCGCATTGATTAAGTCAAAGAATTTTGCCAGCTCTTGACTTTTTTGCCAAAAAAAGGGACGAAAGCTCCTGAGCATGAGTCGAAAGAATCATTCTCGACAAAGAAAAAATTGCGAATTTCCGAGAAGTAAAAAAAGAATTTGGTCACCGAAAAAACTTTTTCGTTTTACAGAGCCCAATTAATGTATGGAATGCAACTTTTTTGTAGCAAAATTCTAGGCTTTCATTTCTCCGAATTTTGTAATTTTTTGCAGGTTGAAAACGGCTCTATGGACTCATAAGCAGAGGGCCATCGTCCTTTTTTCGACTTAAAATTCAAATTCTGCTAAGATTTTTGACTGTGAAATATAGAGCACACCAGTTCAACCACGTCAAAGACCCGAGACAAGCACCAGAGATAAGCACCAGTATAAAATCAACCTCATTTTTATATTAATTTTGCTTTCTCCACGCACGGCCTGTTCCCCTTGAAACAGAAAATAAAAAATGCATAATTCTATACGTTTAAAATTCGTTTGAAAAGCAGTAATATAAATGAATGCTTCTTCAAAAGAATATGACCAATAGAAACCGAATAAGAAACTGCTGGTACGATCATACGAAGGCGCCGCGCCGCGCCGGCCGTTGTGTTACACGAACGGTATGTAGCAAAAGTGGTATCACTGGGAATTGCAGGCGCTTTTAACTTGGGTTTCACACCGTAGGATTCGTCTCAATAGTTTCGCTCTTACCTCGAATGTATCCGCTTGTACAAACTTCGAATTTTCGAGTTTAAGTCAGTGGTTTTCACGTTGTTTTTATCTGGGGTCTTGGATGGAATTATTCTATAATTATTTGTCAAATCGTCCAGATCAAGTACAATGAATACTACTTTAAACAATTGAAAGATGGAAGACGGATTTCAAAAATGCATTCATGTTAATCGCGGCAGCGCAGCTTTTTGGAATAGGAGCGATGCTTTTGAGACTTGAGTACCTGTACAATGAGAACATGGACAATGCAAAATATGGAACTATAAGGGTCCAAAAGGCCCTATTGTTCTACACAAAACACACTAGAAAAATGCTTCCGCTAATCTTCAGATTCGAATATCGAACGAAGATGGCCAAGAATGTTTACAAACGAGGGCCCTCTAAAATGGTCCTAACCGATATCCCTCATTTCGTATGGTTGATACCTGACATGCCAAAGAATGATTTATCTTCACGAATTTTTTTTTAAAAATGCAACGAGACCCTGGGAATTTTACATTGATCGATCGGCTTTATCATATCATTCGTATAAGCAGGAGGAATCCACGCTGATGACGCCTTGAACTTTCATTGACTTGTTCTTGCAATAAATTAATTTCCGAATTCTGACCTAAAATTTATTTTTAAAATTTCAGTTCATAGCAAGTAATTGGTCCGAGATGGAGACGTGGATCCTGATAATATCTCAAGCGGGGAACCAACCAACGCCTCTTCCTAGTCCAACGGTAGCTCCCAGTTCCAACGGCTGCTTCCTCAACGAGAGATCGTTACCTGCCACCCCTGTCAGTCAGTTCGGCCCCGAACAAATCTACGACGAGCCCGATTCCAAGGTCAGACCCGTCGAGAAGTACCCACTGAACAATCACGTTAGTCCCGTACAGTGGCAACAGTACGAATTCATGAGTGACGACTCTTTCTACCACTACATCGACGACACTATGAAGGAGAATTTAAAGAATATGAAGAACTCTTGCTTGTGTAGTCAGGTACATACCCAACTGTTCCCGAACTAATTTTATTTTAAAACTCACTTGTATTTTCTGCATTCACGCTTAGGAAACACTGCTATCATTGTTATTTTAAATCCTATATTTTTTAATAATCATACACAATTCAATGAAAAAACTAAGGCTAGTATAAACATTTTCTGGAGAAAACTCACAAAATTTACCACAAGGCAAGATCAGAGGCGGATCCAGCGATTTGGCAACACCGAATTTCCTCCATTTAAACCTATGCTAAATAATCGACTCTTGTCGGAGCACCCCCCCCCCAAGAATCGATACATTTCTATGGGTTTGAATGGAGAAAAATACAATGTTGCCAATTTGCTGGATCCGCCAACGTGTAAGATTTTTTGACATTAAGCTGAAAATTCTCGAATAGTTGCACAGAGTATGTTTTCCGGCCTACCCCCACGATTGAAGGCGAAATAGAGATCGGCGTTCCGTGTCACAATTGTGACGAGTCTGCCTCCTCTGAGTTGTGAATCACTGCAGCCGTTCAGGAGATAAGTGGATTATATTTGGCAATTAGGAACTAATATTTCTGGCTCAACAGTTAAAGCACTTATGTGCATAGGGAAACTAGTAGTGCATAGTATGTTTCTAAACTGAGCTCGATACAGAAGTTCCAAATTGCAAAATATATTCCAAATGTATGCATTTCCATTAAATGTATTGCCAAAAGTACTTTCAGTCGATTCGCTAAAACATGCTTTTTATGTTTTGATTCGGATTTCGCGAAGGCAGTTCCATTCTGTAAGTGTATGTAATGATGTACGGGCAACATATGTATAAAATCAGAGACATTAAACTTACTTTATCGCCATGTTTCAGAATGAAAACTATTACAACAATGTAGGAGAAGGAGTAAGGCATTGCATGCAGTGTGATAATAGGAGTAACATGTACTACAACATGCTAGACCCACCCGACAGTGGACGGAAAGAGAACCACCTTTTCAGCTGCAGTAGTCTTCCAAGCATTCCCACGGAACAGGAGGCAATTTATGACATTATATTAGATGGTGAGTACACATTTTATTAGCTCCTGCGGGCCAATTATTGAAATTTATTGACAAAGCTATGGACAAAAAGGACAAGAGGGATATGGAGGGATCCTATTGCTAGGCAGAAGGTGGTTGCAATGGACAAAGGAGGTAGGTAATAGACTAACTAACGCTAACTCACGACAGATCCCATAGAAAGTTTGTCATATTCTTAGTCTAAAGGAACCAACCATTCTAATCACCAGGTTTGCTCCATTCTCCCTATGTCTTCTTCCTCTATCGTTTTGTCTGTAAATTTCAATTATCAACCCGCTGATGGCTAAAACTTCTCGCGCTAAAAGGAAATATGAGAGCTCCGTCGAAATTAGTATTACCGACCAATGCAACTTAAAATCATGGTGTTTGACTAATTGTAAGTTTTGCGATAGAATTCACTATTTCTATGTCTCGGAAAAACGCCAACAATCTGCCTGTATCGAGTAGCTAAAAGCACATTTGGACAACATTTTTCGATGAAGAACTACTCTTTTGGGCATATTTATAAAAAGCTCACGTAAAACTATCTCTTTCATGCGGCTAGACGCTTTCATGAACGAGCCAGGAACAGTACGAGTACGAGTAGTTTCTTATTGCAAAAAGTAGTTCATTTGTTGCTTCTGAAATGGAAATGAAAACAATGGGGTTCCGCATTTCAAAATGTAGTCCATTTATGATTATTATGCAGTGACCTTTTCCGTCTTAACTGATCTAAAAGGTTCATCGAGAGAATTCTATTTATTTGTAAAATCGATATTTGCTTGGTAAAATTTACTTTGAGATTATCTCGAGTTATTCTCTAGTTGTAAGCAACTTATCCGATAATTCTCCAATGAATCCTTCCCTGAATCTGCTGAGAGTTTTTCCTCAATATTTTAAGGAAGTAAGTCGACTGTGAATGATTTTCATTTGCCGCAAACGCTATGAAAATTGCACGATCTTAGCAGCATTGCAGGCATCGATACGCCCTTTCACCGAATAAGTCCTCAATTAGGAACTACAATTTCTGGCCCAACCGTTAAAAAACTTATGTGCATAAGGAAACAAGTAGTACACAATTTGCTTCTACTGAGCCAGATACTGTAGTTCCTAATTGAATCGGGACGTGCGAAAACCGCTAATGTCCATTTATCCAGTATTCAGTTTTTTTGGGTTGATAATACTTTTCGGAGACGTTAGTGGCGTTTATACTCGTCTCCGAGTTACCTGTGTCCCAAAACGAGTCCTTTCATCACATGTATATTTGTATTATCTCTAGAAGTATTATCAACTCAAAAAAACTGAATACTGGAGAAGTGTCGTCCCGATTCTATCGCAAAATGTAGCCTAAATCATCAACTTTTCTGCTAAGTTAAAATGAAAGGTGAATGACTTTATTAAGACTTAAAATGAGTCGTTGGAGCACGAAGTTAACAAGACTCTGTTGATGCAAGACTTAGCAAGACTTAAGAGCATCTCCTTAGGACATAGCGATGAATCTCTGGAAGTAAAAGTTTCCACCATTTTCGAGATAGCATAGAAAAGTCTCCATTTTTCCTTTCCAGTATCTTTTACTGACGAGACATGATGTACATTCCAGGTCAAAAGCAGCAGATCAACGGGATAACCGACCGGGACAAACTGCTCAACGAGATCCTGAACCGGTCCAAAGAAGAGCCAACCTCGAAAACAAAACCGGACGAACAAACGCACGAAAGAACCGACTCGACGCGATCCAGCGACGGCAACGAATCCGACCGGTCGTCGAAGGAGAACGCCGACTTCAACGTCCAAAAATCCGGTCTCCTCTTCGTGAACCAGTACGGCCCGAACCGGATCCAGGACATCATCAACCGGATCGAGACGACCTACAACAACAAACGGGAGCCGACATCGCCTTGCAAACGCGAACCGGCGCCCGCCAACAAACGCTTCGCCAAATCCGGTTGCACGACGACGCTCCCCAAACGCACGACTCTCTGCCGGAGCCTGGATTTCAAGTCCAACGAATCGATTTTCGGATCTCAGAGGAGCTCGGTCGTCCAGGACCAGCTCTACGAACCGGTTCAAACCTCGTCCAGCGCGTGCCCGTCGTAGAACCGGTTCGTTGCCGAGGAACGATTTTTGTTGTCGTGGGTCGCCCGCCGAAACGGGTGACTCTTCGAACCGGTTCGAACTTTCTGCAACGTGTTCCAGTTGTAGAACCGACTATTTGCATGAGAGCGATTTCTGTTGTTGTGGGTCATTCGCCGAAACGGGTGACTCTACGAACCGGTTCGAACTTTCTGCAATGTGTTCCAGTTGTAGAACCGACTATTTGCATGGGAGCGATTTTTGTTGTTGTGGGTCGTCCGCCGAAACGGATGACTCTACGAACCGGTTCTAACTTCCTCCTGCATGTGCCAGTCGCAGAACCGTCTATTTGCAGGGAGAATGATTTTTGCTGTCCAGTCCTCAACTGACCGTATGTTGAACGGATTCCTAGGCTACAGGCCGTTCTTGAACGGAAATAGGCTAATTTATGGCTCGGCAAAAAGGCCGCCATGGAAAAACGGTTGTCACCGGTGTTTTTGACTTGTGGCAATTCGTTGTACTGAGATCACAGACTGCGCCTCCTTGAAGATCGCAAAACCCTCGGGATGTGAAGAGGGAATCAATGTATTTTGTAGTACGTCGTGCAAGTAACAGGGGAAGCATTGCCTCGAATTTCACTCCAAAACCGACAGCTAATGAAACATCAAGAAATCTTCTTCACAAGGCGTTCCCTGAAAAATTGTGATACTGCAGTTTCGTAGTTTGAATTGTTATTTTTAGTAAAGCACTTTTCCCGACCAATAACTTTTGTGTTGCGAGTGTGTTTGGATTTTTACATTCTTTAGTGATGAAAGAACTGAAACTAAGATCACGAACACGGCTAGTAACGCATTGGTTGCACAGTCAAGCCACAATTTAAACTGCGTTACTAAATTATAACACCGGTGTGTTCTATCATTTTACTTTATGATTGGGACTAGTGGCGAGGCAAGAATGATCGACCATCGATATTTCCCCATTTGAAGTTATGGTGAAGAATCGATTATTCAGGTGTTCGTTGCAAACACCCTGTATATCGATCCTTTTCCATAGGTTTAAATGACAGATTAATCGATTTATCGCAGAGCACGCCACGCCATTGAATTGGGACTCGTTTTCATCTCCTCATTTTTTTCGGTGACTACGAATTTCTATATTTTCAAAATGAATAAGAGAGAAAGTCAGATTTTTGTGAATTAGGCAAACATACGAGGAAATTCCGTAATTATTTAATTTATAGCAAAACAAAGTACGATGAGGCGATCGTTAAAGTAACAAGACTGAACTTTTAATTTAAATGTGTTTTTTTACCCGCAAATCATAAACTGCGTTATATGAGATCCGAACAGTTAACAACTAGAGTTCAACTGAGAAAATACTGTGACTAAGTGAATCAAAATTAGGTACAGCACGGATGAAAAAGAATGTATGTGATAGCTTCATTCGTGATAATATGTGATCTGTAGAAAATTTAATGGCCAGTACGAGATTTTTGTGAGTGTAAACCATGCTCATACTTACATTAACCAGTTGTGAGACAATCATTGTCAGAAAATGTGACTAGATTCCTGACTATGGATGATTCTTAGAAATCGGTCACATTATTTTTCATCCGTGCACTGCAGTTTTAACGAGCATACTCTTTTAGAGTCAATTGGTTTAAAAATAATGTTTGTTAATAGTTTTCATATAAGTACCGTTGTATGTAATTTTTTATGTAAGTTTTTTGTAGATAATTGTTGATCTTAAAATACAGCTTTTATTACAAGCTATCGTCTTGGATCTTTAGTATTAATTTATCCTGTCCAAAATATTATTGTGAGAAAATAGTTTTTGATCGTTGGGAAAAATATTGGATAGTCTCTAATGAGCAAAACACCATTGATTTAAATAAATTACGTAGAACATAGAATTAAGAATATACGAATAATGTAGAATGGTTTAGAATATTCTGATTTTATCATTGAAATATTTTCAAGCAAAACCACGAAAATCGTAGGGTGGCTCTAACTCTTAATTCACTTTTAACAATGCATTAAGAATGATATCTGGTCGAGTATTCAGCCATGGATAGGTCGATTTTTTCACAAGATAATAATCACCTTAATTAGATTGACTAGAAAAGAATTAGTAGTTTGCGCTGTCATTTATTTTCATTTTATTATTTTTTTTATTTATTTATTTATTTGGAACCTAGTGCCTCGGCAAGACGGCATAATGAGCGGAGGAGATGCAAACTTGGGCCTCCAGTACCACTGACATTACGATATAGCTTACAAGCAACAAGCAGGTCAAAGAGGCACAAAACCGCATTTGAATCATACGCAAATTCATAAAAATTCCTTACGGAAACTTACGTCAAAAGTGATTTAATTGCACAGGCATCATACACCTAAGGATGAGGATGTTTGTGAAAAAATTACGTAAAGAAATCTGGAGGGAAATATTGCATTATTCCGCCGCACAAATTTGTTTAGAACTTGCCCAATTGTACGGTTTTGAACGCTTGTAGTTAATTCATACAAATATGGGCACTTTCATTTAACACCGCAAGCAAAATTAAATTCCCGTATACGTCTGAACAGTTGATCAAAAGAATAACCACGATTCGACTGAGTGATATTTAAGGTTTCATCCTTGTCATGTGGATACCACTATAGTGGCTCAGGGGTGCTCGTTTTGCCTACATTGTCTATTGAAGGAGAATCTATGGTTGGCGAATGCACCACATCCTTAATTAGGAATTTAGAATTTAGCACTGGCTTACAGTGCTTGCCTACTTTCGCCATAGAGTACCCATCATGGAGTACATGAGATTCACTGGGACTCAAACTCTTCTGGTGAAATATTAGCAAATCTGTTTCGGAATACCTACTGATTATACGACAAGGAAGTTCCTTTATGTACAATGACCGAAACAAATTAAGTTGAGAGCCACGATTATCATAAACTCAATCAATTCTGGTTCTAAACGCATTTTTTGTCTGAATAGCTGTAGGATGATAGTTTTTTTTTTTTTTTTTTTTTTTTTTTTTTTTTTTTTTTTTTTTTTTAATGTTCTCACAGTTTTTGAGAAGGGTTGTAATTTTCGATCGAATTTTATTAAAACAATGGAGGACTGAAGGAAGAACTTCTCCATCAAAATCGAACTTGCTTTACGTCCAGTCATACATAGCTTTTTCACTACCATACCTCGAGATTTATGATGAAGAAAGATTAAATTCCCTATTTTTTTTTCAAGCAAACTTTTTAAAAAACTAATCTTTACAGCTTAAAGAATACCATTCTCGGGACAATGTTCTTCTCCAAAGAGGAAAAGTGTTTCACAAAAAATGTACACTTCTTCAATTATTGAAGCCTGTTAAGAATATTCTAAATGGCGGAAGACTCTTAGAAAAAAAGACAAAAAGAAAAGAGGGAAAAATTAGGTGAATTTGAATAAAAACCTTGTTTTAGAGGAGTGTTTTCCAAAAATTGACGGAAAAACTTAATTATTCATTTTCAAAACTTGCTTTCTAGAAATTTTGAAATATTGCTCATTACTCTCATTCACCGGAGGCCTAAATAATTAAGATCCGTGTTTTGCTTGTTTACAAAGGTTTTCTATACATTTGACGTATTCTGTGCACATTGCTGATTATAAATATACTCACGTTTTCGTCCCGATTGCCTCTTGTTATCTCCAAAATACTTGTCAGCTATGCAGTTTGAATGTTTTTGCATCATCTTCCAGCCTTTTTCCTGCTCGCATAGCCACAATATCGCCGAACCGAACCCACTAGTGATAACTGTCTCGTCAAATACATGTATTTCCCGATTGGAATGTGATTATTTGGTGAATTTAAGTTATTTTTTAATGCGTGGCTTTATTAAAATCAGAGATGAGACCGTGCTCTAGGATAAAAGAGGGCCTGAAAATGACATGAAAAAATTCTAGTGCAACCCTCAAAAACCTGGATATCACAAAAGCAACTATGGCGAAAACGTGAGTATTCAATACAGCATTGTTATCTACAATTGACCGCATGACCTGTTAACGAACCCTCCAACATTTATTCTAAAATATATTAAATATACGTCAGTAGCAATAGATTTTTAAGAAATATACAGTTTTTTGTATGGAATAAGCTATTTAAATCAGCGCGATAATTGAGAAAGGTGTCCTTGATGATTGTAGAAACATTCAAACATTGATTGGTCAAACCCCGAATGAGAATATAAAAAATGTGAGTATATGAAGGGAGGGTAAAATAGTAATAAAGGTAGCTAGAAAAATTTGGCGGAGGTGTAGGTACAATGCAAGTTGTCCTACGGTTAAACCGTCTGACTGAATTCTATAAGTCAAAATAAGATTTTTTTCTTATACATTTTCCCCCCGGAAGTGTCCACTTGGAGTCCTGGCCCCCAAATTTTCGGGGAAATTATCGTTTTATCAGAATTTCGGAGACGGCTACGGCTCAAAATTAAAGAAAAATGGATAATCTCCTGAATTTCACCGTTAATTTTATCTGTGACCTCAAGAATAGCAACGTCTTGAGTAAAAGAGAGCTTTTGAGACGTCTCAGAGGAAAAAAAAGATAATTTTCCTCAATTATTGTAGGGACCGTAGCTCCAACTGAGGGTACGGTTGGCAAAGAAATTCAAGGAGAGGAAAACTCTTATTTTGACCAACAGAAGACGTCCTGCAGCCTGGCCAGTTAATCCTAGGACAGCCGGATTATTGTAGACGTAGATTCCGCATGTAGTAATTGAATGAAACCTGTTGGAGCCACCAAGAGTATAATTAAATAAAATGCACAAGTGTTAGGTTCAGATGCCGATAGCCGCAAAATAAAATATGTTTCATTATTCTCAAATTTTACATGTTCAGTTGAAAGTCAGCGCTGACAGTCACGGAACAACTTCTCTAGATTGCCATCACAAAAATATATATGGCTATTTCTGCTCCGCTAAGTCTATGAATTTTCAGTTGGTTTTCGTTCCACTGTCAAAAATTTCGACTCGAAGCGGCTGTAAACTGTGCACAATAACCCCTTAGTTTGTTCCGTTTGCGGCAAACACCGAATAATTTTGGACGTGTACCAAACGGCAGTTGAACCGTCTCCAAGAATGAGTGAGCGACTGACTTTCCCGCGTGTCGTAGCGTCGGCTATGACTCAATTGATAAGCTGTGTTTGTTGATGTTTATCAATAGGTCATCATTTCACGTGACCCATTGTATCATGTAATTGTCTCTCACTGCAGCGGTAAGACCCTACCTTTTCTCGTATTAGGGCTTTAATATTTTTTATTCTGAGACCAAATCTGGCTACTCTGTTTCCTTATCTATGAATCATTTTCTGTTTAAAATGACAAGGTAGCTATTTTTTCTTTTTACTTCCTGACCGTTTATCTACCACCTATCTCAGGGCGTGTAGATGCCAAAATTATTCCTCCTTTTTATTATGGTAGGTACCTACCTATTTTTTTCTAGACGACAGAGTGGCTTATTTTGGAGTGTGCGGTCGGAGGGCCATTGAGACCCTCAAGACTCAGAAAAATGAAGATAAAAGAATTAATGAGAGGAGGTTGTTGCTAATTATAGACTATTACCACTTTTTGCCGAAGTTGCTCTAATATAGATTTGCTGAAGAAATTGTTTTGGATAAAATGTGCAAAATTTAATTAGTAACTAGTAAAAACGTCCAAGTACGTCCAATTTGAGTGAAATTCTTGCTGCTACAAGCTGAATAGAGTAATAATTTTGATCATACTAAATTTTTTGCCAAAAACGTTGCCATTTTTTTGAGTCCCACAGGCAGCCCCATAAAGCCTGAGCTAGCCAAGCCAATCAGAATTGGATCAACCAGCTCGATACTCTGCTTGAAGGTACCTACCCTATAATGATATCAACGCTTCGTTCAATCCATCATCAGATTGGACTAATAGTCAGCGCGTCTGGCTCTAGATCATAGGCTCCTGATTTCAAATCCCAGTAGCGGCATCTTTTCACAGAATTCACAAGAGGATCTGCAGTTTCCAATCGGTCTTAATTCCTGCAACTTTGAAAAACTAGAGCATGGATGTGTACTAACCTTTTAACCCGATGTTCTTTCGAGATCCCAAAATCCTCAAAGTATCCTTAAATACATTGGTAAATAACAGTCGCTTCTACGGCGCCTTCTGGCGACCTGCGACGCCTAATCGCCACAGCACCCGGTTCTCACACAACCCTTCAGGGAGTTGGCACTCCTTCATTTCATTTAAAACCCCCTGTCGCCACGCTTTCACTGGGCTTCCTCTTCGTCTCCCGGGAGAAACCTAATCAAGCATTTCTTTTGGCAGCCTTTCTTTCGCCATCCTATTAATATGACCGTACCAGACATAAGCTGTTTGGTCGTGACGTAGAACACGACGTCATTTTTTACTCCCATGATCTGAGGCACTCAATCATTTCGGACCCGACCTCTCCCAGAAATCCCTGCGGACCTCCTCCAGAAATCAATTTTCACTGCTCTTGGCATATCCTGTATCCGTTCCTAAAGCTACCAAACTTCGCATATCTGTACGTTAAAATGCTTTAAACTACAGCGTTGTAGATTCCCCTCTTGTTATGTTTGGAAGCTCGCTGATCCCTGTGGATTCCATTCAATATTGCAATAGCTTACCTTGCTAGGTTGTTTCTCTCCTTAATGGATTGATCCTTCCATGATAGAAAATGTCTAATTGAACCTTCAATGTAGCCATTTTAGGAAAAACTGCATTTTTGGCAGCCATCCGACAACAAGGGTCTGTTTGATTGACTTGGTGCCGCCAATGGCTTGCCTCAAATCGCGATATCTTGGCGAGCACGGGTTTTGACTCAACAGCGCACAGTGGATCGAGTCAATTTCAGAATTCGAACATGAAATTTTTGAATAAAACTGCACATTTTGATGTTTATTTCGTCACATTTTAAATTTCAAGGGGTGCTTATGGAAGAGAATTTCACGAGGAACCCAATGGAATAATTTTTAGAACCTCAAAATTTTGTATAAACGAAGTTATGAGCGTTTAAAGTGTCCACATTTTGTCCGACCTTTCATATTGACTCGGTTATTCACTGTGCGGTGACGCGACGCCGCAGACCTTTGGAGCGGAGGCACCTGAGATAAACTCCACCAAAAAACGACGGCTGTATCAGGGCTGTTGCCAACCCGAGCCCCAAGGCGCCTAACTTGGTCCATGCAACAATACCCAAAAATGACTCATTTGGTGGCATTGTAGGGACCAGTTTGTTTGTATTTTGAGTGCACCTTGGTCTCGGAGCCGATCCTTACACCCCCTTCCCCTCGGTATTGATGCGAGGGTTGCCGCTTTGACGTCCACAGTCCTAATGTCTAAATTAGAATTCTTTCACTATGCTTCTTCCAGTATCGATGAGTCAAGTCGAAAAAGGCATATCTCAAATTGCGACGTTGCAAATATTCCGCCCTGCAGTCTTTACGCCTAAGAGACCATTCACGCAAGGCTTTTTAACCAACGGATGTTGACCCACAACCCTTTTTACTTACGCATATTTTTACCTACAAGCGTTGCCATCAAGTTGCAAGTTACAAAAGTTAGAATTAAACTCCGCTCTCGCAGTGATGCTTGAATAACTGGAAACTGGAGTTAGAAATCAAGTTCGCCTTCAACTCGATGGATACAATTTGTGCGACTCAGGAGTTGAAATAGTTGTATCACGCACCTTCGTTTAGTATGATGTCCAGGGACGAGTGACTTTTGATGTAATCTTTGTGTTTTCACTGACCACCGCAACGAATGTCCAATATCTTTTTCTCGATGCTCCCCACCAAAAAATATGTTAATATTGACATTGAGATAAGTTGCAAAAGTTGGAATTGAGCACAGCTCTCGCGGACACGCCTGAATAACAGGGAACTGGAGTTAGAAATCAAGTTTCTATCAACTCGACCTCCCCTACGACTTCCACAGGTAGTGTAAAATACATGAAGGTAAAAACTTCCTCCTTGCAAAACTTCATGTATACAACAGTTGAGGGTAAAAATGCTGTGGGTCAAGAGTCGTGGGAGAATTATACCGTGGGTAATGAGTCCCTGGGTAAGTAGTCCCAGAGCCTAAAACGAGCCATTCAACATATGAACCACATTTTGCAATGAGGATCTACTATTTCTGGCTCATTTTAGAAACAACATATATGCCATTGCTTTCCAGAAGTGGAAAGGTGCTTTCATGGAAGAGCCAGAGATAGAGGTCCCTTATTGCAAAATGTAATCCATATATTCTGAGAAATTTTGGTGGCGTTCTGATAATTAGGTGAGCTGACAATCCACGATTTGAGATGCATTTTTAAATATTTTTGAAATTTTACGAAAATTTTCGCGTGAAAAACGATTTTATTTGTACCAAATTTTACCACCGTGTTCGCGGCGCGGCGCCACCTACATATCAAATCCGTCATTTAGCGGAAACGACGCAACTAGAGCGGGAACCCCATAGTGATACGCGATTTTTCCTTACATCCTCACGGCGACAATAATGCACCTCACGGGGCACGCTCCGCTCCAACCCTACCTCTTATACTGCCGTGCTAAGGAAGAACGCCGTATGAACATCCGAGAGATGCTACATTTCCCTCAATAAAATATGTATTTTTGACGACATTCATGCACATTTTTCCTTGAAATTGTCAGATATTTTAGATTGCCGACATCGGTTGGTCCAGTGGTTAGCGCAACTGATCACAGACCTAGATGTCCCGGGTTCGAATCCCGGCCACGGTGGCAAGATTTGATGGTCTCAGATCTTGTCACCGCGGAGTGGCATGGATGTTCTTTCTTCGTTTCTTTCTTCGTTTCTTTCTTCGTTTCTTCCTTTGTACTTCCGTTTCTACTGATGTTGTAAACTTTCCTTCATTTAGCAGTGGCTGTTTGTCTACACGACTAAGGCCAATGAACTATACCTAGAGTGCGCAAGCTCTCAAAAAAAAAAAAAAAAAAAAAA